CCCTTGTTACCCCATGTTACCCCTTGTTCCCCATCTTACCCCTTGTTACCCCTTGTTACCCATTTTACCCCTTGTTACCCTTGTTACCGTTGTTACCCCTTGTTACCCTATGTTACCCCTTGCTACCCCTTGTTACCCCATGTTACCCCTTGTTACCCCTTGGTATTCCATGTTACCCCATGTTACCCCTTGTTACCCTTGTTACCCTATGTTACCCCGTGTTACCCTTCTTACCCCGTGTTACCCTATGTTACCGCTTGTTACCCCATGTTACTCCTTGTTACCCTTGTTACCCCATGTTACTCCTGTTACCCCATGTTACCTCTTTACCCCATGTTATCCATTGTTACCCTTGTTACCGCATGTTACCCCTTGTTACCCCTTGTTTTCCTTGATCAGTGAATGGCTAAAGCGATTGATGGGTAGATCGCTGGATCACTAGATCGATGGATCAGTAGATTGCTGGATCATTAGAACGATGGATCAGAAGATCGATGGATGGATAGATCGATTGATCGGTAGAACAATAGATCGCTAAATCGATGGACCCTTAGATCGATGGAGCATAAGATCGATGGATCGCTAGCTCGATGGATCACTAGATCGCTGGATCACAAGAACGATGGAGCACAAGATCGAAGGATCAATAGATCAATAGATTGTTTCAAGAATGAATCGCTATATTAATGGATCGCTAGATAGATGAATCGCGGAGTTAATGGATCAGTAGATCGATAGATCGCTAGATCGAGGGATTGGGAGAACGATGGATAGATGGATCCGTAGATAGCTGGATCACTAAATCGATGCCTCACTATATCGCTGGATCGCTAGATCCATAGATTGCTAGACCTATGGATCTCTAGATCGATGGATCAGTAGATCGATCGATCTCTAGATCAAAAGATTAATAGATCGATGGATCGCTAGATCCCTGGATCAATGGATCGCTAAATGGAAGGATAGCTCGATTGATAGATTGAGATTTTTCCTAAGCGGTTAACCCATGGTTTTGGACAAAAACTGGCCATATTTCCATCTTTTTCTTTTAGGCAATATAGGCCGGAAAATGTCTTTTACGATATTCTAGAACAGAAAAACGCCTTTCTAGGCTATAAAAAAAAAAGTTCAAAAGTCGAAAAATTGACATTTTTCCAAAGGGGTTAACCCATGGTTTTGGTCCAAAAATGGCCATTTTTCCCACTTTTTTTTTTTGAGGCAATATAGGCCAAGAAAATGTCTTTTACGATATTCTAGAACGAAAAAACGCCCTTCAAGCCTATAAAAACAAGAAGTGCAAAAAGTCAAAAAATTGACATTGTTCCAAAGTGGTTAACCGATGGTTTTCGTCCAAAATTGTTCATTTTTCCGACTTCTTTTTGTAGGCAATATAGGCCAGGAAAATGTCTTTTACGATATTATAGAACAAAAAAAACGGCAAATAAGAAGTTCAAAAAGTCGCAAAATTGACATTTTTCCAAAGGGGTTTACCCAAAGGGTTTGGTCCAAAAATGGCCATTTTTTCCAACTTTTTTTTTAGGCAATAGAGGCCAGGAAAATGTCTTTTACAATATTCTAGAACGAAAAAACGCCTTTCTAGGCTGTAAAAACAAGAAGTTCAAAAAGTCAAAACATTTACATTTTTCTAAAGGGGTTAACCCATGGTTTTGGTCCAAATATGGCCATATTTCTAACATTTTTTGGGGGGGCAATATATGCCAGGAAAATTTCTTTTACGATATTCTAGAACGAAAAAACGCCTTTCTAGGCTATAAAAACAAGAAGTTTAAAACGTCGAAAAATTGACATGGTTTTGGTCCAAAAATGGCCATTTTTCCTACTCTGTTTTTTTAGGCAATATAGGCCAGGAAAATGTCTTTTACGATATTCTAGAACAGAAAAACGCCTTTCTAGGCTTTAAAAATAAGAAGTTCAAAAAATCGAAAAATTGACTTTTTTCTAAAGGGGTTAACTTATGGTTTTGGTCCAAAAATGGCCATTTTCCAACTCTTTTTTTTTAGGCAATATAGGCCAGGAAAATGTCTTTTACGATATTCGAGAACGAAAAAACGCCTTTCTAGGCTATAAAAACAAGAAGTTCAAAAAGTCAAAAAATTGATATATTTCCAAAGGGGTTAGCCCACGGTTTTGGTCCAAAAATGGCCATTTGTCCAACTTTTTTTTTTAGGCAATATAGGTCAGGAAAATGTTTTTTCACGATATTCTAGGACGAAAAAACGCCAAATAAGAAGTTTAAAGTCGAAAATTTGACATTTTTCTAAAGGGGTTAACCCATGGTTTTGGTGCAAAAATAGTCATTTTTGCAATTTTTCTTTTAGGGAATATAGGCCAGGAAAATGTCTTTTGCGATATTCTAGAACGAAAAAACGCCTTTCTAGTCTCTAAAAACAAGAAGTTCAAAAAGTCGAAAAATTGACATTTTTCCACAGGGGTAAACCCATGGTTTTGGTCCAAAAATGGCCGTTTTTCCAACTTTTTTTTTTTAGGCAATAGATGCCAGGAAAATGTCTTTTACGATATTCTAGAACGAAAAAACGCCTTTCTAGGCTATAAAAACAACAAGTTCAAAAAGTCGTAAAATTGACATTTTTCCAAAGGGGTTAACCCATGGTTTTGGTCCAAAAATGGCCATTTTTCCAACGTTTTTTTCAGGCAATATAGTAGATCGC